GTTTCTTCAAAGTCCCAACCTTTTGCTGTGATCACTGCTTTGCACACCCTGCATTCTCTTGATGAGCTTCAAGACATTGTCACCTGAAATGGTTTTCACTTCACAGGTGTGCCCTGTCAGGTTAATAAGTGGGCTTTCTTGCCTTATCAATAGTCATGAAAATAAAGGAAACCCATTGAATGAGAAGGTTGTGTCCAAACCTTTGGTCTGCACTGTATGTCTGTCAAGATATCACAACAAAAATAATGGAATAACTGCACTTGTTTACAACAATGCAGAGTGTCAAACACCTGGATGTCGGGATGTGTGTCAGTTCAGTAGTGGAGATCTTGTGAGAATTCCTGGTGTGTGTTTTCCTTCTGGGGACATTTCTCTCACTGTGGAAACAAACTATAAAGGTCAGCTCTCAAGTCAGTGGTGCTTCAGCAGAGAGGAGGGTGGTTTAGCATGGGTTTGATCATCATCCTCTTCCTCACTCTGCTTGCAGAAACAAAGCAGAAAAACCAGACATGCGAAGTGATTGAAAAGACGGAATTAATGGAGTTTTCCAAAGACGGAGATCTGAATATTGCGGGAGTTTTCTCTATAACAAGTACAAGAGAATTGGTAGATAATGGCTATGAGGCAATTCCGTATTCTTACTGCAAAAGGTTAGTTAATGCTAAATATGGGGCTTTTACATTGTGTGAACTGCTTTTTTTATGCCGTTGTGATCAGTGGTTAAATCCTCAATGTTTTTGCCTGGCTCCTCATCCTGTGTTTGTAGTTATAATCACAGAGAGCTGAAGTTTGCCAGAACAATGATTTTTACTGTGGAGGAGATCAACAGGGATCCTTCCCTCCTCCCTGGATTAAGGTTGGGTTACAAGGTGTACAATGGATGTGGGAATGAGAACCTGATTCGAGCAGCTGTTGAAGCTATAAATGGAAATGATCCACTCGCCTGCGGCGGTCAGACGTTGGCTGTCTTAGGTCATTCAGCCTCTGGTGTGAGTGTCGACATAAACACCATTATCAGTGCAGTGTCTGTGCCACAGGTGAGAAGAATTGATCACATTCTCAACTGAAATGTAAACTTGTTGATTATTATTTTTAGTCGTTTTTTTTTTCTTCTTCTTCTTCTTTCAAGATCAGTCACCTGTCTACTTGCGCTTGCTTAAGTGATAAAGTTCGATACCCAACGTTCTTCAGAACCGTACCAAGTGACAAGTTTCAGATTACAGCTCTGGTGCAACTTATGAAATACTTTGACTGGCGATGGGTGGGAATAATTCGTTCTATCGGTACGTACGCGGAAGAAGGTGTATCTGAATTTGTTAAGGAAGCACGAAAGGAAGGCGTGTGTGTGGAATACACAATGGTTTACCTGAAAACATCCAGGTCAAGGTTCAGAAGTATAGTAAGTACTCTGAAGAAGTCCTCATCCAAGGTGGTGTTAATGTTTATGCCCCTGTCTCATGCCAAAGAGTTTCTTTCTCAAATGGAGGAGTATAACATAACTGGAAAGCAGTGGATTGGCAGTGAATCTTGGATCTCAGCTACATACCTTGCTGCTGCAGAGAGAAAGCACATTTTGCATGGAGCATTAGGCTATGCCATTCCTCAAATGTCCATGCCAGGCCTTGGAGAATTCCTCCTTAGCCTGAAACCATCTGATGAACCACACAGTGCTCTAATTAAAAATGTCTGGGAGGAGTTTTTCGATTGCAGCTTCACCCCATCAAATACCTCCACGTTGTGTACCGGCGCAGAAGATCTGCGGACCGTCTTGAGTGACTACACAGACGTAACAAAATTCAGAGAAGAAAACAATGTTTACACAGCTGTGTATTCTGTGGCATTTGCTCTGCATGTGCTTTTGCAGTGCGAAAACGGCTCAAACCCAACAATGGGAAATCCGTGTCTGACCAAGGATGAAGTCCAGCCTAAGCTGGTAAGTTTTAAGGACATAAACTGATGGAGATCCTAATTCATTAGATGTTTTGGAAGGGAATGCTCGAGTAACTTGTGAAATTTTCTCTCTGAAGGTGTTGGATGCCATGAAGCGTATAAACTTCACCACTAAAAACGGAGCCAGAGTTTTCTTTGACGAAAATGGCGACTCGATTGCCAAGTACGACCTTGTGAACTGGCAGATGAAAGAGGACGGTTCAGCAGACGTGGTCATCATTGGCCAGTTTGACAACTTCTTACCAGAGGGGAAGAAACTGGAACTAAAAGACAATGCAAAAATAGTTTGGGGCGGCTATAATAACGTGGTAACTATGCAAAACTTTATCACGATATTGGATAATTTGAACATTTTTAATTTGCTATTAAGTTTCTTGCATCCTGTTTTTATGTGATCAGGTGGTGAGGTCTGTCTGCAGAGAACCGTGTCCACCAGGGACTCGAAAGGCAATAAACAAGAACAAGCCTGTGTGCTGCTTTGATTGTTTTCAATGTTCTGAAGGAACAATTAGTAATAAGACAAGTGAGTAGAAACTTTAACAAGCAGCTTTTAAAAAAATAAATAAATAAAACAACAAACCTGTAAAACTTTTTCTTGACATTGACTTTGGCATGATGTTTGTTTCTCTGGAATGTTTTATTTCGTGCAGATTCTCTCGACTGCTCACCCTGCCCACCCGAAGTTTGGCCAAACGAGATGAGAGACTACTGCGTTCCAAAACCCACCGAATACCTCTCTTACACGGAGACCATGGGGACACTTCTTACTGGTTTTGGCACCTTCGGTGTATTCCTATCCCTTCTCATAACAATAATATTTTTTACTCATAAAGAGACTCCCATTGTAAGAGCAAACAACTCTGAGCTGAGCTTCCTGCTTCTGTTTTCACTGAAACTGTGTTTCCTCTGCTCACTGACCTTCATCGGTCGGCCCACTCAGTGGTCTTGTATGCTTCGACACACCGCGTTCAGCATCACGTTCGTTCTCTGCATTTCGTGTGTTCTGGGGAAAACAGTCGTGGTCCTGATGGCCTTCAGAGCGAGACGTCCAGGGAGCAACATCACAAAGTGGTTTGGACCCGCACAGCAAAGAGTCAGTGTTCTCATTTTGACTCTGGTTCAGGTTGTCATTTGTATAATTTGGCTAACAAAGAATCCCCCTTTCCCAAAGAGGAACATGCAGTACTACAGAGACCGAATAATCTTAGAGTGTGCCCTGGGTTCAGCAATTGGATTCTGGGCGGTGCTGACTTATATTGGAGTCCTTGCTACTTTATGCTTTGTTCTTGCTTTTCTTGCTAGGAAACTACCAGACAGCTTCAATGAAGCCAAGCTAATCACGTTTAGCATGTTGATATTCTGCGCCGTCTGGATCACCTTCATCCCAGCTTATGTCAGCTCTCCTGGAAAATTAACTGTGGCTGTGGAGATATTTGCTATTCTGGCCTCCAGTTTTGGTTTGCTGCTTTGTATTTTTGCCCCAAAATGCTATATTATTCTACTGAGGCCAGAGCAAAACTCAAAAAAGCAAATAATGGGTAAGACGTAAACACTTTTACTAGTCGTAGATTTTTCTAAAACAAAGTGTCTTGATGCTGTAGAGTTATTCACAAATGTTACATACACTAATTTAAGCAGAACTGTCCAGAGTTGATTCATTTATATGTATTTAGTCTTTGATTAAATAGCAAGCATTGTCTTGTCCTTTGTATTTCTGTGTTTCCAGCTGTTGGTGTTCTTCAAGTATGTTTTAATAAACTTGTTTGTTTTGCTTTTCAAATAGCTGTAATGAAATTCAAATTAAACATTTCAACTTTGAGCACTAAGCAAAGAAAATGGATGAACAGATCAAAGTGATGCTCGCATAATTATAACCTTCTTAGATTCTGAGGTTTAAATAATGCATGATAACCGCAGTACAGAAGTATTCATCTATTATCTTCCAATTTGTTTTGATTCTGCATTAGCACCTGCTAGCGTCATTTGGTAAATAATGACACTTTTAATGCAAATTTGGCATTTTCAATGGACTTTTAATGCAACTTTTAAAGCAACTTTGCATTAAAAGTGTCACTTACCAAATGACACCTCATGACAACAGTCATAAACATTCATGAAGGCTCCTTTATGACCCTGGTAGGTATTATGTCATGTTTACGAGAGAGTCAGTCTTATACACACCCCGTCAAATGAAGCGTTACCATCCATTTCAGCCAACCCACATTGTCGGCCCGACATGTGATGCACATTTGAAAAAAATCAAATAAAAATGCCAGCCTCAGTTGGTGGAAAATATTAAAATATATCCAATTTCTGAAGTGATATTGAGATATCAAACATAACAACTTATAGAGTAATAGGAAGTTTACAACATTTTCATCACAACTAACACTTTCTCTGCATAGAATGAATTTAGAAAATAGCATAACAGATCGACTGTTTTGTTTTAAGAGAGCGAGCAATTTATAGCGTTAATGATGCTGAACTAAAGTCTGACTACACACCTTTTCTGTTTGTTGTTTTCTTAAAGTCCTTGATTATTAGCAGATTATGATTTTTGTTTAAATTTGTTTAATAAGACATGAGGGATGTTCCTGTCAGAAAAGTTTGATTTTAGAGATAATCTTCCAACTAAAGTACTCATATAAGGAAGTATTCTTGTTCACAAAAGGAGTTGTGTTCCTTAAAACTAGTCATCCATTGTCTATTCCCACTGCATAAGTTTAGCTAACATTTAAATTAGCAACAGGGTAATGTTTTTTTCACACATTGTGCATGGACTATCAGTTCAGAAATCACCTCCCTGTTCTGCTACCCACCAATCCGTAACTGCTTTGCCTTGTGGGAAACAAATTAACCCTGAATGACGACACATTTTCCTGCATCCATCAGATCTTAAGAACCGTGCGTCGATCCAAGCCTGACAATGCAGCACAAACATGCCAAAACGGGCTCTTGTGTATCTATGTGTTCTCTGCATGAACGCAGGTTTTGGCTGTGAGCTCTTAGGTAATTTTGACATGCCAAGTTTGTTTAAAGAAGGTGACATAATGATAGGGGGGATTTTCCCCGTTTTCAACAAGGATGTCAGCAACATCGCTACATTTGACCGGGAACCTCCTGCTGTGATGTGTGCTCTGTAAGTGTGACTATTTCTGTTTGTTCATTCCTACATTAGGAGGTGACGACCATCTTCTTTGCAGTAACATCACATTCTTTTTGTAGCGTGTTAAAAAAATGGCCAGAAATCTTTGCAGGTTTGATCTTCGGGCTTTTCGATGGGCACAAATGATGAAGTTTGCGATAGGAGAGATCAACGCAGATCCTGCACTCCTGCCTAACATCTCTCTGGGTTACAGGATTCTCAATTCCTGTTCGTCTCCTACAAATACTTTACGAGCTGCACTAACGCTGGCAAATAGTCAAAATGAAAAAGAAACGGTTTCTGGCTGTTCTCCAGCTGTATCTGCGGTAATCGCAGAGGCAGGATCGTCTCAGTCCCTGGCAGTCGCTGGAATCCTTGGACCTTTTCAAGTCCCAGTCGTAAGAGATAAAACCGTTTCTGAATCCGTCCTATATTGTAAGAAATCACATCTAATACTGCTCTAAAGTCAATAATTTGGGTCCTTTTCCTAGGTGAGTTACTTCTCAACATGCGCCTGTCTCAGTAACAGAGCTAAATACCCAACGTTTTTCCGAACAATTCCCAGCGACTACTTCCAGGCAAAAGCCTTGGCAGCTCTGGTTAAACACTTTGGTTGGGAGTGGATCGGAGCCATACAGTCAGACAACGACTACGGACGAAACGGGGTGCTGGCTTTTAAAGAGGAAGTTGAAAAGTTTGGGATTTGCATTGCTTTTGTTGGGACAGTTATGCGAACGTACCCTCAGGAAAAGATCCTGAAAGTTGTAGAAATGATCAAACAGTCAACCGTCCAAGTCATCCTGGCTTTTACTCCTGAGGGTGACTTTTCTCCTTTGATGAGAGAGGTTGTGAAGCACAACATCACTGGAATACAGTGGCTTGCCAGTGAAGCATGGATAACAGCACCTCAGCCTTCAACCCCGGAAATGTACCGAGCTTTCGGCGGAGCGTTGGGATTTGTCGTTCAGAAGATGAACATCCCAAATCTGAATCCATTTCTTACAAATATTAACCCTTACAGAGATCAAAGTGAGCCTTTTGTGAAGGATTTCTGGGAGATAATGGTTGGCTGTAGACCTTTTTCAAATGTGTCGGACACTGGTGCGGCTAAGAGGTGCACAGGCAATGAGACGTTGATGGATCACACCCAGGATGTGTTTTTCAACGTCTCACAGCTCAGAGTGACCTATAACGTGTACAAAGCTGTCTATGCTATTGCACATGCTCTTCACCAGCTGGTGTTCTGCCGACCAGCAGAAGAAAAAAATGTCAAGCCATGTTTGAATGTGTCTCAGATTCATCTGAAAGAGGTGAGCAATGATTTAAAAAAAACAAAAATGTTCAACAGTGCTCCTTGTTTTTAGCAAACAGTTTTAAGCTTTAACATGACATTTGTTCTTCTTCTGAGGTTTCCTATCATCTACAAAGAGTGAACTTCAGGAACCAGTTTGGAGACGATGTGTTTTTTGACGAGAACGGCAACCCTCCTGCTTCCTACGACATCATCAACTGGCAGCTCGTAAACGGCCGGGTTCAGCATGTGACCCTGGGTCACTTCACATCCACTAAAAACGGAGAGTACACACTGAGCATACAGGAAGACAACATAGTGTGGAGGACAGGACAGATGGTAAAAAAAGAAAAAGGAGTGATGAGTGCTTTTCACTGTTGAATATCATGAAGAAGAAACATGAATGCGGTGATTTTTCTCCCCCTTCAGGTTCCATCATCAGTGTGCTCAAAAGCTTGTCCAGCAGGAACCAGGAAGGCTCAGATCAAGGGGAAACCAGTGTGTTGTTTTGATTGCATTCCATGCGCAGAAGGATCTATCGCCAATTCAACAGGTGATTCAATCAGACATAATTTGAGTTAATATCTACTTCTAAAGCCACTCAATACAGATGAGTCTTGTGTGTTTTGTGCTAAACTATCTGTGTGTAATTTTTTCCTTGTCTGGCAAAGAATTAACACTATGACAATTACTTTTTCTCTCTTTTTAAAAGCCTGTAAATTATCACCAAATCTTTTTCTTTTCCATTAACAGGTGCAACAGAGTGCGTGGCCTGTCCACTTGAATACTGGTCCAATGATAAACGAAGCGAGTGCATTGCAAGAGAAATCGAGTTCCTGGCGTATCATGAGCCCATGGGAGTGGCGCTCACAGTGGTGGCCTTGCTCGGCGCCTCCTTGTCTCTGCTCACGATGATGGTTTTTATCCACTACAGAGAAACTCCTGTAATAAAAGCCAGCAACTCAGAGCTGAGCTGCTTCTTGCTGCTCTCTCTCTTCCTGTGCTTTCTCTGCCCTCTGACCTTCATCGGCAGACCCACCGTCTGGACCTGCATGCTGCGCCACACCGCTTTCGGAGTGACATTCGCACTTTGCATTTCCTGTGTGCTAGGGAAGACCATCGTGGTCGTGACAGCGTTCAAAGCCACACATCCCAGTAATAAAGTCGCAGTAAAGTTTGGTCCCACACAGCAAAGGATCATCGTTTGCTCCTGCACGTTAATTCAAATAGTGATCTGCATACTGTGGCTGAAGTTAAATCCCCCCTTGCCGGATCGGGTTTTTAAATACAGCAACAGGAAAATTGTGTTGGAATGTAACACGGGGTCAGAGGTCGCCTTTTATGTGGTTTTGGGTTACATAGGCTTTCTTGCAGTGGTGTGTTTGGTTCTTGCATTTTTAGCGAGAAAACTGCCAGATAATTTTAACGAAGCTAAGTTTATCACGTTCAGCATGCTGATATTCTGCGCCGTCTGGATCACTTTCATCCCAGCGTACGTCAGCTCTCCTGGAAAGTTCACCGTCGCTGTGGAGATATTTGCAATCCTGTCATCAGCATTTGGCTTGTTAATAAGTATTTTTGCACCGAAATGTTACATCATCTTCATAAAGCCAGAGAAAAACACGAGGAAACATGTCATGGGGAAAAAATAATCAACTTTTAAGATGAAATTAGTTATTTTGAAAACATAACATACATTGGGTCTATAGAGTCTAAAATGGCAGAATAATTAATGTTTATAGTGTATAAATGAAAAATGCTGACTTGAGTGGTTAATCCTAACACACTCTTTTGTAAATTAAATCAGATTTTGAATTATGTGTAAGAACTGACTCAACCCAATTTTACTTTTTTGTAAAATTATATTGTCTGTATCCTCTTCCTGTGAGGTAGCATCTCTTCTAACTGCACCACTGTGCAGCACTGATGCAGAAACAGAAATGTGACACTGTTGTTTCCTTTTTTAAACAGCTAAATAAGACTTATTTTTTCTGTCTATCTGATTTTAACTTAAAACACATGAGAAATTACACAATGCATTCCATTTTAATAAAAATAATAATAATTGCAAACTATTTCTCTGCCAGAAAAAGATTTGTTAGATTTCTCATCCGTGTTGGTTTTCTATTGGTGTGTTGTTTTGGGAAGTTGAATACAGACAAGTGTATCAAAGTAGTGATGTCAAAATGCCTCAAACTCAAGTTCGCCTCTTACACATACAGACCTTAATCCTCTGGCTATCATCCCCACAACGCTTCCTTTGTTTGTCACATAGATGACTATTAAGATGTTTATTTCAAAAAAATAATAATTTTATCTTATCAACTCTGTTATACTGAGCAACATGTAAAGAGCCTGAAGTCTGGAAGTGAAAATAAAAATGTGTGAGATGTAAGGTGATGATGTGTCTTTGCTCTGATTCAAAGCAAAATAACCTCACTGTGTGAATTATTCACTTTAATGAAAAAAGTAAGATATTAGTGCATCATTTGACACATCGGACAAAGTAATGTAGTAGTTGCAGTAATTTTAAGAGGAAAAGTAAAGTACTTGTTTTCAGTTGTTTTTACAGGGGATTATTGTCACAATGTCACTGATTATAGATTTACATAAATCTTAAAAGGACTACCTGAGTAGAAAGGAATTATGGGTTTTGATGTCTTGTTTTCTAAGACTGGAGCATTAAGTCATAAAAACAACGACCAAAGTCTTAATGAATAATTTTTTATGTGCATTAAGTTTGAACGCAGATGGACTGATGTGTGGTTTAAGTCCTCTGGTTGCTTCTTCCTGTGCAGACTTTGCCCGACTGAGAAAGTCCTGAGGGATTTCTTCTCATATCCAGCTCAGTTATAAGAGCTCAGTCCTCATCTCCGTTTGACAATGCAGCATAAACATGCCGAAAGCGACTCTTGTCATTTTGTGCGCTCTCTGCATCGGCCAAGTTTATGACTGTGAGGTGACCGGAAAATTCGACATGCCGTACATGTTTAAGGGAGGCGACATAATGATCGGGGGGATTTTTCCAGTTTTCAACAAAGAAATAACGAACACTTCTTCATTTAAGGTGGAGCCTCTTAAAGTAATGTGTGAAGGGTAACACTCATTTGCTTTTCCATGTTAACTTTCCACATGTTTTGTGCTTTAATCTTGACTTTGACCCTTGCTGTGTTTTTTGTTTGTTTATTTGTTTATCTAGATTTGATCTGCGTGCTTTTCGATGGACTCAGGTGATGATATTCGCAATTGACGAGATCAACAAAGATCCTTCTCTCCTTCCAAACATTTCTCTTGGCTACCGGATCCTTGACTCATGTGCCTCTCCTACTAACACCGTTCGTGCTGCTTTAACACTGGGAAGTGAACCAGACGGGATGGAGGCGACTTCGCCTTGTCCTCCAGCAATATCTGCCCTCGTTGCAGAGTCCGGATCATCTCAGTCCTTAGCTGTTGCTGAAACTCTTGGACCATTTAAAGTGCCAGTAGTATGAGACAAAACAATCCAGTTGATCTGATTTGTGAAATGTTTTGTGTGATTGAAAATAAGGTCGTTTTGTTCTTCTTGTTGTAGGTGAGTTACTTCTCAACATGCGCCTGTCTCAGTAACAGAGCTAAATACCCAACTTTTTTCCGAACAATTCCCAGCGACTACTTCCAGGCAAAAGCCTTGGCAGCTCTGGTTAAACACTTTGGTTGGGAGTGGATCGGAGCCATACAGTCAGACAACGACTACGGACGAAACGGGGTTCTCGCATTCGCCGAGGAGGTTAAAAAACTAAAGATTTGCATCTCTTTCATCGGTACGGTTCTTCGAACTTATCCTCTGGATAAAATTCTCAAAGTTGTAGAAATGATCAAACAGTCAACTGTCAAAGTCATTCTGGCTTTTGTTCCTGAGGGTGACTTTTACCCTTTGATGAAGGAGATAGTGAAGCAGAACATCACAGGAATCCAGTGGATTGCCAGTGAGGCGTGGATAACAGCTGCACGGCCCTCCACGGCTGAAATGTACCAAGCTTTTGGCGGAGCGTTGGGATTTGTCGTTCAGAAGATGAACATCCCAAATCTGAATCCATTTCTTACAAATATTAACCCTTACAGAGATCCAAGTGAGCCTTTTGTGAAGGATTTCTGGGAGATAATGGTTGGCTGTAGACCTTTTTCAAATGTGTCGGACACTGGTGCGGCTAAGACGTGCACAGGCAATGAGACGTTGATGGATCACACCCAGGATGTGTTTTTCAACGTCTCACAGCTCAGAGTGACCTATAACGTGTACAAAGCTGTCTATGCTATTGCACATGCTCTTCACCAGCTGGTGTTCTGCCGACCAGCAGGAGAAAAAAATGTCAAGCCATGTTTGAATGTGTCTCAGATTCATCCGAAAGAGGTGAGCAATGATTTAATAAACAAAAATGTCCAACAGTGCTCCTTGTTTTTAGCAAACAGATTTTAGCTTTAACATGACATTTGTTCTTCTTCTGAGGTTTCCTATCATCTACAAAGAGTGAACTTCAGGAACCAGCTTGGAGACGATGTGTTTTTTGACGAGAACGGCAACCCTCCTGCTTCCTACGACATCATCAACTGGCAGCTCGTAAACGGCCGGGTTCAGCATGTGACCCTGGGTCACTTCACATCCACTAAAAACGGAGAGTACACACTGAGCATACAGGAAGACAACATAGTGTGGAGGACAGGAAGAAATGTAACTTTTTTTTTCTTTAACATAGGTCTCTTAGAAATGACTTATAATATAGTGTCACATGGTTTAACATGTTCTTTCTTTTTTTTCCACTTCAGGTTCCTACGTCACTGTGCTCTAAAGTTTGTCCAACAGGGACGAGGAGAGCTCAAATCAGAGGGAAACCAGTCTGTTGTTTTGATTGCGTTCCATGTGCAGAAGGAACAATAGCCAACTTCACAGGTAGACATGAGTTAGAAGAAACACATTTACATACAGATACAAAGATACAAAGTCTAAAATGTGTTTTTGTTTAATTTCGCTTGCTAAAAATGCATTCCATTTTGTGTGTTTTGGGGGTTTTTTTACACTCAGGTGCAACAGAGTGCGTGGCCTGTCCACTTGAATACTGGTCCAATGATAAACGAAGCGAGTGCATTCCAAGAGAAATCGAGTTCCTGGCGTATCATGAGCCCATGGGAGTGGCGCTCACAGTGGTGGCCTTGCTCGGCGCCTCCTTGTCTCTGCTCACGATGATGGTTTTTATCCACTACAGAGAAACTCCTGTAATAAAAGCCAGCAACTCAGAGCTGAGCTGCTTCTTGCTGCTCTCTCTCTTCCTGTGCTTTCTCTGCCCTCTGACCTTCATCGGCAGACCCACCGTCTGGACCTGCATGCTGCGCCACACCGCTTTCGGAGTGACATTCGCACTTTGCATTTCCTGTGTGCTAGGGAAGACCATCGTGGTCGTGACAGCGTTCAAAGTCATACACCCCAACAACAAACCCGCATTAGGGCAGTTTGGTCCGATCCAGCAAAGAATTATAGTTTGCTCCTGCACTTTGATTCAAGTAATTATCTGCATACTGTGGCTGAAGCTAAATCCACCATTTCCTGACAGGGTTTTTAAAAACAGCAACAAGAAGATTGTGCTGGAATGCAACACGGGGTCAGAGGTCGCTTTCTACGCTGTACTGGGATACATCGGGATTCTTTCAGTGATATGTTTAATCCTTGCGTTTCTAGCAAGAAAACTGCCCGATAACTTTAACGAAGCCAAGTGCATCACGTTCAGCATGCTGATATTCTGCGCCGTCTGGATCACTTTCATCCCAGCGTACGTCAGCTCTCCTGGAAAGTTCACCGTCGCTGTGGAGATATTTGCAATCCTGTCATCAGCATTTGGCTTGTTAATAAGTATTTTTGCACCGAAATGTTACATCATCTTGGTGAAGCCAGAGAAAAACACAAAAAAGTATGTTATGAGATTAAATGCTGGTCGAAAATATGGTTTGGAAAGAAAATATCAAATTGACAATGTGTTCACAATTCCAGTGAATGAGTAAAGTATTCTGGATGAAAGCAGAACTTTAACACAAATGGAGGCTCTTGCTGTAAATAAATCACTGCATTATGTTGTCAAAACTATACAATTGTTCCTTACTGAGTTGCAATATGTACAGTCGTACAAATGTGTAAATCAGGTATTTTTGACGCTTTTAATATTTTATTGTTCATTGTAAAAAATCTACTTTATTTCTCGCTGCTCTGATAATAATGTATAATTTATTAACTGTCAATGAATTATGTCACAATAAAGAAAAAATATCACATGATGTATATTAATGTTTTAACAAAACCTAAATTGACTTTGTGATAAAAAATGGAAATGAATATTTTAACATTTAGAAACAGAATCATCTTATTTGACAAGTATGTGAAATAAGAAATTTGACTTTGGTTATAATTTTTCTCTCAATGAGAATATTTTCACTCCAAATAAAAATAATCATTTGGAAATAAAATTGTGTTGTTTTTTTTTTCTTTTTTTTTGGAATATATGTGCATGCACAGCATTTTTACTTAAGAGCATAATGTTTAACTGTTGGCTACATTTGTATTATGAGACGAAAGAGACCTTGTCAATAACTTAGTGGTTATTTAGTGGTTTTCACCAAGCTGGGACATCATGCTTCTAATCAATTAAAGACACAGTATGCGTCTTTTACAAACAAAATGTTTTTTTTTCTTCACATTTCTTAAAACTGTCAATGCCATGAGAAAATGAGGCAGATAATCTGTGAAAGAATTGAGCTCCTCTTGATTGAGCCGCCTACTTGTGGTAAGTTGTTTTCTCGGGCGAATTACTGAAGGAGAAAAAACACAAATCAGGTATTGAATTATATGTTGTTTAATAATTTAAGGGAAAAAAAATCCACAAATAGATTTTTGCTCATATGTCTATTTTCAAAAGAAAAGCTCTCCTTGGTCCAGGCTTGTTGTGAGTGGAACAGCTTCATGGTCTCAGGCTCAGTTTCAGGGTGCAGTCTTCTTATAGTCCCTGTTTTCAGCTTTAACACACATGATTTCAATTGATGGCTCATTAACAGTTTGTTTGTTTCTTTGTTGAACTGTGTTGCAGTTGTTTCGTTCTACCTTTGCATTAGAAACTTTTTGCTGTTCTTTTCAGGGTTAAGCAAAATTATGTAGCACTTTGGGGCAAAAATGCAAAGGAGAAGTCCTGAGGCTGAGGCTAAAATAGCAAAAACATGGACAGCGACAATGTATTTCCCAACAGTGCTCATGTAAACTGGTATAAACGTAACCCAAACGACAAAGAAAATGAGGATGCTGAAGGTGATGAACTTTGCCTCGTTAAAATTATCAGGCAGCTTTCGTGCCAAAAAGGCCAACACGAGGCACATGCAAGCCAGGACTCCAATGTATCCAAGAACGAGCCAGAAACCGACGTCTGAACCAGTCGCACATTCGACAATGATTGTAGAGCTGTGGTGGTCGGTATTGTAATTGGCATGAGGCGGGCTGGTAAGCAACCAAATAAAACAGACAATAACCTTAAAAAAAAAGATAGAAAGATATGAAGGTAGTAGTTTTCGCAGATGGAGATGAAAAATGATTGCTCTAGTAGAAATGTTTTAGTACCTGGACAGTGGTTCCCAAAAGCACACTGGCTCTCTGTTGTTTGGTTCCAAACCATTTCATGACAGGACTTCCTGGTAACCTGGACCTGAACGCCATTAGAACCACCACTGTCTTGGCCAGAAGGCATGAAAGGCAGAGTGCAAAACTGATCCCAAAAGCTGGATACCTGATCCGACATAGCCACTCTGAAGGCTTACCGACGAACAGCAGACCGACAAGGAAGCATATGGTGAGAAACACCAAAAGGAGGAAGCTCAACTCCATGTTATTTGCTCGAACGAGAGCTGTGTCCTTATATGTGTAGAAAATGGCAATGATCAGCAGGGAAACGCCAGCTCCCAGAACTGAGGCGGCGCACAGCAGAACCCCCATGAACTCATGGTAAGACAGATACTCCACTCTTTTGGGGATGCAGAGATCTCTGGCTTTGTTGGGCCACGTGTCCCCGGAGCAGCGTGAGCAATCTAACGAATCTGAATATGGAGAGAGAAGAGAAACCTTACACAAGATATCCCTGAGAATAACTGCTTTTGCGCTATTGCACATCTGCCTGTCGCTTCATAGAAATTTACTTTACCTTGGAAAATAACACTTTACAACGCATTTGCCATGTATGCACAATTAATTCAGATACACTGAAAGTTGCCACCACATAAACCCTGAAGTTCTGGATTGTACATTTGTACCACTAATCAAGAATTAACACTAATGCAACACAACTATTGCACCAATCAATCATTTCTGGATGTCACATCTTGCTAGTCCAGCTACACCGTCTAAGAGTCAGTCCCCTCAGCATGACAATTGCTCGAAATGTCCAGCATTTGAGGTTCTGCTACTTTTTAATTATTTGTGGCTAATAAATAATTACTGATCAGGCAGCTGATCCCTAAAGATAAAAAAACAAAAAACTGAGGGGTTGATGCTGAAAAATACCTACACGTTAATTAATTTTCCACTAACAACAATATATCAATAACATTGTAGATTGTGCTTGTTTAACTTCAGGCGAATTGAAATAGCTGCTGTTACAGTTGCTTTTGTATCAAAAAGGGTATTATTGTCAAGTAACAGTTGCAGCGTTTACAAAATTTACTCATATTCTTTCATCCTTTTTCCATGCACACTTTATCATTGTAGGTATGCAGGCGGTCAAGTGCCTGACTCTTTAGGGGATGACAACCAACAAGTGGGTCACACAGAAAAACACAAGAGAGATAGTAATGGGACAGCTGGGGGCCTGTTCAGTTCCTGCGTTTATACAGTTGGAGAAAACCCAGATGGCATCCATAGATGCCAACTCCACCCGCGGCTTTGCTTTAGTTCGATACCCATGTAAATTAACTAATGTAAGCAAATTTAAGGATAGACAAGGAAGTTTATGATTAAACAAAAGGGTGACAAAGTGTGGGAAAAGACAGGACATACCGGTTGTATTACTAAATTGTCCTTCAGCACAGGGCACACAATCATAGCAGCAGATTGGTTCCCCTTTTCTCCTGGCAATACGAGAACCTGGAGGACAGCTGCTGCTGCACACAGACCGGAGAGCCTGAGAGGCAAAGTTCACGCACTCAGAAAGACGACTAAACGGGCAGCTTCCTTCCCTAATGCGCACATATTTTATCAAAAATGTAGAATGCATTTATAAAATGTAAGCAACATATTTAAAAAAAAAAAACTGAACTCACAATTGTATTTTTGAAAAGTATTGAGATTCGGCATGGATTCAAGTAGTTAAATCTACATATTCATAACAAATTAATGTAAAGATTTTTTCCCCCCCAGATTTTTATTCATTATTTTAAAAAAAAATCACACATTCTTCAGTGCAATATTTATTTAATTTAAAGTGTTTCATAAAGGTAATTGATTTCTCAAGTTTTTAACAAAAATGTCAGACCAATATTTGTGAAAAAAAAAAAAAAAATCTTGACTTTTTAATACTTTTGTAATAATACCAATATTGTTTCTGAATATTTGAAGGATGGCAGTTTTCTAACAAACTGCAACACATCATTTTCCAATGAACATTTGAAAGGAGACGAATAAGAATAATTTAGCAAAGCATGCCGCACATAAACAGCAGTAATTTAAATGATGTGTCAATCAACAGGGCGCAGAAGAGTCTGAGCGGTGAACACGGCCTCATTCCTGTTTGTGGAAAACGCACCTTCTTTCCAACCGGCCACATGATCACCGAGTCGTTTATGACCAAGCTGCTTCCAGCGGGAAGAGAGGCGTCATAAAAACCAACTTTTACCAAATCTAGAGAGCCGTCAGGTCCCGTCTGCCAGTTCATCAGATCATAATAAGCAATTGGGTCACCATTCTGATCAAAGTTGACTTCCTCCCCCAGTGCAGAAAAATTTGCAAGCTTCATGTAGTGGAGAAGCTGAGGGAATGAAAGCATGGGGTGTCAAACTTCTGTTTCTGAAATATTACTACGAATGATAACTTGTAACCATTCTCACCTGCCAGGGTTTAAAATTCTTTGGATCTGCACAAGTGTTTTTGACAAACGGCCCCTCTCCAGCTTTACAATTACTCATATCTTGCAAGGCGTAGGCTACGAGATACACGGCTTTGTAGACATTGTATGAAACTCGTAGTTGTGTCACGTCAGAATACGGAGAGTAAACGTCATGTAAGACTTCGGTCCCCTTGCATGGCATTCTGCTTTGCTGGCTTCCCAACCCGTGATAGTGAGCGTTCGCAGAGCCGTTCAGCCGACAGTTGAACGTTTCCTCCCAAAATTCTGCCAGGAAAGCGATTCGACGAATAGCTGACGGTGCGAGAGCCGCAAGATGCTGCTGCAGCCCAGGAATCACAGCAGCTCTCTGTATGGCAAATCCAAGAGTTCCCTTCAGGAGATGGGCTGAGTTTTCCCACAGAGACTTGGAGGTCGCCCAGGCCTCACTGGCGATCCACTGAAAGCCGCTCAGATTTCGACGTTCCATCTCTCGGAGGATGTCCTGCATCTCTGCCTCACCTGAAAAATTAATGATGACTTTTGAAGAAGTCATCTGGTGATGGGAAAGTTAGAGGAAGTATTTAATCAAAATTCCCTTAATTAGTATGAGTTATACATGAAATGACTTCCATAATGATACCAAACACTACTTTATTTAGTGTAACATAACCTTGTCTAACAAGATAGGAGAAACAAATGGCTAATCTTGTAGCCAGCATTAAACAGCATATATTAGCATTAAATAAAAAACAGAAACCTGTCAATGTTTGGACTTTTTAGCGGGTAAATTGTAGTAGTAGCAGCACACACAACACACCTGAATAACATTCAGAAGCTTGTCAATGTCCTGGTGGCTTAGGCCTACGGGGTAGAAATGTGTGTAGGCAGCACACACACCGTAGCGCACCGATTCCTGGAGGAAAAGCTGGA